GCCGGGGGGTTCAGCGGCTTCGGTGAGGGGGTGGAAGGTGCCAGGCTGCCTCAGTCCAAATTGAGAGCTTAGGAAACAGGTTTTGCAATGGGTGCGTTGCATCCTTCAGTCAGGCCTAGTGAAAGGGACTCCATGTTCTGGAGACAAGATAAGCGAGAAAACACTCTGTCTAGGATAGGGTTAAATTTCACCAGAAGTTGGGAGGGCCACAGCTGGGATAGAGAACCCGACCAGCCTGTGGTTTATTTGATACCATGCTGACGTCTTGCCCGTGACATAAGGGCCAGCCTAGGTGCAGGTTTCAGGAGAGGGTCTGGGCTTATGCCACCATTGCCTTTTGGAGCTAAGGTGGTCTTGTCTTTGTATCACTTGCTTTACATATCGTTACGTTGCTGTTATTTTTATTACTGTTGTTTACTGCTCCTTTTGCAATATTAAATTCTCCTTATCTCAGCCCACAGGGTTTTGTATTTTTCTGCCTTTTCTCCTTCCCATTTTGGGGGTGCGGGCAGTGAGCAAGTGGGCACATGGTGCCCAGCTCCTGCCTGGGTCTAACCACGACACACTCACAGAAAGAAACCCGCCCGCAGGTCACCCAGCAGGTCTGCAGCCAACTTGAAAGTATAACCTGTCTCCCTGATTCCCATTAAGTGTCCAGCTTCCCCAGAACACTGCTGCTTGCCAGGACCAGCGTTGTGGATTCAGGTGTAACGAGACAGATCACTATGCTTGCCTCACCATCCACCCAAAAGCTCCACCTGCCAGGCACTGACTTGGGAGCATGTTTTCCTCATGAAGGTTCATGCTGACATTTATCTGGTGGAAAATCCAGCTAATGTTTCCTTTCCCCCCCCCCGATTTCTATGCAGGAAGACCCCGTGCCCAACGGTCTCCGCGCACTTCCAGTGTTTTACGCTGCTACCATAGCTATTAACGTGTTTTCCATCATGTACACGGGGGCACCAGGTGAGTGGTCCAACCACAGCGGGAGGCGTGGGAGGGAAGCTTCCTGCACTGCAGTACAGTGATGCTCTGCCCCAGTGCTGTCAGGGGGTTCTCCACAGCACACAGTTACCTCCTGTGTTAGGAGTTAGTGGGGACAAGAGTAAATCATCCACTTTCCCACATGCTGCTGTTTGTGCATGAGGTTTTGTGATACCCTCCTTGTCATTTCAGTGAGTGGGGAAGAGCACAGCTACAAAAAATAAAAGTCCCTCTTCAGAGGGAGGGGAAATATTGAGCTGCCAGCTTTGGCTTTGTAAATCTGAGCACATGTTGAGCTCTCAAAGCTATTCCAGATATGTGCATCAAGGATGGAAGGTTCAGAGTGGGTGGTAAGACCAGGTAGGGTGTTTGCACTCGCTCTAATGCTATAGATCCACTGAAATGAGCAGAGTCACTGTTCAGGCAGATCTGCCACAGAGTCTATTAATTAAATTTGCTTCTTTCTCTTTAATGATAAGACGCCCCGAGCTTGTCTCTGCATTGAATGCATCTTCTTTCTTGGGTGCTGTGTTTTCCTTGCAACTCAGTAGAAGGATATTATATATGTAATTTTCAGGATTTATATTTTTGTCTATTTGTATATTCTAAGTGCATCTGTATGTTTGTGTTTATATTTGTACTTATAGTTACAATTTTATATTTATGTTTGTATATTTATATTCACACATTTTATGTTTATATATTTGCCTTTATACATTTGTATTTAACTTTACTTAAGGAGTGTACATTTAAACACGCACTTGCAGCAAAAGAGTTCAGAAAAAAGATGTTCAGTGCTCTTGACAACTTTATTGAAGACTCTTACCATTAAATGTCATCTTTATTTATTATTATTTATGTCATTATTGCCCCAGACTCATGTGCCAACAGGCAATTGAAGAGAGACTCCTGAATATGCCCCTCATTTAAGAAAGCAAGTTTAGAAAGTGACCTTTTTTGAATTGAAGTTTGCTAAAACCTGACATTAGTACATTAGATGTACTAGATAAATGCAATCGGTAGACCCTGCTTCTTAGCTTAGCATTACTGGAATTAATAAAAAACTTGAGAAGTTCCAAATTTGAAGGTAACATAACTCAGCTATTCCTTCTTAAATCTAATTGGCTACCTATCCAAGATGTTTCACAGTAAATGAGCTGTATAACCAACATTTCCTCATTAGTTGCACTGCAGAAGTAGGTCAGGCACTCTGCAGTGAGTCATTAAGCAAAATAAATGAAATAAGAATCTTAATGTCCCTTCTGTTTCAGCTTAGTGGTCTCTGAAGTGCATGAATAAAAAGGTGGGACTCTGTTTTTGATACTCAGGAAATACATTTTTACTTTCCAAGGCCTCTGTCTTGGCAACATTTACTCACAAGGATGAATTAATCACATAGGTTTCAAGACAGGCGTGCATATACAGATTTGAGAGATCAGAGTCCAAACCCTTTCTTCATTAAGGTTCTGATCATTTAATTAAACAAGCGCAAGGAAATCTGTTGTGGGCATATTTACAGGAGCACGAGTTACTGACATGATTGTGCATTGCAGGACTGAAACCTCAGCTCTCAAGTGCTACATTAAGCTATTATCATAAGCAAATAACAGCTTAGATTAAGCTAAGCATCAGGCTTTATCAACCAAAGCAAAGGTCAGGTAAATACTTACCCTAATGGACAACATGGTTTAATGTGCATTGGTGTATAAAATCACTGCAAACTTGTTTTAGCAGCTCTGATGTGGGAGTTTTACCCTGGACTTCTTTGGAAATAAGATCACAGTGGGGTAACAGAGAACTGGAAGACTAACTTGCAAATGTGTGTATGTCAAGTAGACCTTTAATACTGCATTAACTGGTATATATGTTAAAAATGATCGGGTCATTCTTGTTAGGTTTGAGTAAGTTGTGAATGCAGGCTTTTCTGCAACAGACTTTTCTTTCACTCTCTGAGATAATGAAGTCTTGTTAATTTAAGGTTTTCTTGGGTTTTATTTCTTTGTCTTCACAGTACTAGGACTGGTACTACCAATGTGGGCCATTGCTCTAATATCAGTTGGCGTATCCTTAATATTTGCTGTATTAGTCTGGATTTTTGTGTGCCCCTGGATGAAGAGAAAAATAGAAAGTAAGTTGTTTCTTGATGAAATACGAGTGATGTAAAATCACAGAAAATTTCATTTCAGAGCTGGAAGTGCCCTTAAGAGGTCAGCTAGTTGAGTCCCTGCCCACAGGCAGGATGTACTTAAACTATTCCTCACGTATTTGTGTAACCTGCTCTTAAAAACCTGCAGTGCTAGAAGGTCAAAACCTTGTTAGACTATCCATTGCAGTGCTTGCTTCTAGAGTCTAGCAGAAGCAGGAAAACAAATTCTGGAATGTAATCCATTTTATAATTTAATAAGGAAAACATTAAAGAGGAAAAATCTGGCAGAATTATTATCTTTTAGTGACTTCTTTAACTTTACAGTAAGTTGAGCTGATCACAGCTTTTATCTTTACCATGTTTTGCTTATTTTCTTTGCTACTATCAACAAATGCAGTGTTTAAAAAGCAAAGTTTCAGTTTTCATTAATAAGTGAGCAGCTTGGTATTTTACCTCAGTTACCTGCTTCAGTGAATTTTGTAGGAAGAAACAAAGATGCTCTAGAATTTTCTCAGATGAATTTAGTGAAGATCATTGTTACAAATAAATAAAGAATGTGTATGAAATGGAGCCGGGTTATTGTATCCACGTTAATCTATGCTGTTGATGCAAACAGTGGAAACATAAGCAGCTAGATGGATATATTTGGTTTAAAATTACAGTGCTGTTATTTCCTTAGGCCGGTTAAAGAAAGATGCTGCTCTGTCAAGGGTATCAGATGAAAGTCTTGATAAAATTCAAGATGAAGAAACACCAGTCTTTAAAGAGCTTCCCGGTGCCAAAGCGTCTGATGAGAGCACGATCCCCCTTACTGGCTCGGTAACAGAAGTTGCTGGGGCATCAGATACTGTTGCAAATGGAAACCATCCACGTGTGCCCTATGGTAAGAAACTAAGACAACACAGAGGGTTTATCTTCTCCTTGTTTCCACAGGGTTTCTTAACTGCAGGCAGTCCTCTTTTGTAAATGGGAAATTAATGTTTGGGATTTCCAGCTCTAATCCCTCTTCTTGGAACACTTCTTGGGAGAAATGCTTATTTACAAGTGACATTTTCTAGTGAGGACTGTAAAACAATTAAATTTTGTTTGGCTTTATTTCAGTTTTAGAAACAGCTGAAAACAAAAATTACTTTCCTTTTTGCTTTGCTTTGGATCCTTAATGGTGTTTCCATTCTTTCAAGCAGTGGAAAAACACAGAGAACAGAAATTGCTGATGTATGAAGGTTAAATTCAGCATAAAGACGATTAGCATACTACCACAGGAGATGAAAAGATTTGGGCTTCAGTGGACAAACGTATGACCTTTTGAAGCATGTCCACCAGGAAAATCCCACGCATTGTTTTCTGAACATACATTTATAAGGAGTAGGCTTGTGTGCATAGAGCTCTTTTTGTTCTTCCCTGTGATGGGGTTGAACCCCTCCCCACTTAGTGGTCTGCTGATGTTGATATCGCTTTGCTACCATCTACAAGGCCCTGTAATTTGGTTAATAAATGCCTAATATATTCAACTGCTTCTTACAAAATCAAATAAGTCATGACATGTAGCCCTTTGAGTGTGTGCTTCCAGTTTAAAAATTGCTAAAACCAATTCTGAATGTCACACAGTGGAAACCAGGAATTGAAAAAGATAATTTCTTCAGAAATATTGCCTTAGTTGTGACACGTGTTCTACAGTGTATGCTGATGTTAAACGTATACAGTGGAAATAACCGTCATGTTCGTAGAAATAAGATATACGAAGTATTGGAATAAGTGACAAAATGTTTCTGCAGAACTTTTTTGATTTCTTTTTAATTTTTAAATTTTTTTTTAATTATGTAAATGTCTATTAAACATCTTTTAAAAGTTGACCTCATATTCAATGTGAAATTACAGTAAACCATCTTTCCTGAAATCCTGACTATGCCTATTTAACGTAGACAAAACCTCAGAAAAACTAGAGCTTATTTTGTAAGAAAGGAATCTTATAAAAAGTACTTCTTCAACCTGAGAATTTAACCTTCAGGTATCACCTTTAAATAGCCAAAGCCAAATGACTTGCTGCAGGCCATGCAGCCTGTCTGGGGGAGACCCAACACTGGAACAAAGCTCTTTTTGCATAGAAGATGAGGAAGTTTATTTTGCAGTGAATTGAATCTTGGCTTACTCACTGTGCATGTTGCAAATGGATCTTCTTTGTCCTGTATTCTTGGATCGCTGCCATTTTATTGTCTCATGAAGTGGGAGGGAGGGGGCTTCTGTGTTACATTTTGAAGCAATGAAAGTTCTAAATGCCTGCCTTTTCAGGAAGGGCGTTTTCGATGACGCACACCTCGGTGAAGTCTCCTGTTTCGAACGGCACCTTCAGCTTCGACGGCCAGGTGAGGAGCGACGGCCACGTTTACCACACTGTGCACAAGGACTCAGGTTTATACAAAGACTTGCTCCACAAAATCCACTTGGACAGGGCCACCGATGAGAGGCCCGCTCAAGAAAACAACTACAAACTGTTACGGCGCAACAACAGTTATACTTGTTACACAGCTGCTATTTGTGGCATGCCCGTGCACTCCTCCTTCAAGGCAGCGGACATGTCAACTCCAGAGGACAGTGAGAAGCTGGTGGGAGACACGGTTTCCTACTCCAAGAAACGAGTTCGCTACGATAGCTACTCCAGCTATTGCAACGCGGTGGCCGAGGCAGAGATCGAGGCGGAGGAAGGTGGGGTGGAAATGAAGTTGGCCTCTGAACTTGCAGATCCTAACCGACCCCAGGTTGATCCTGTGGAAGAGGATAAAGAAGAGAAAGACACATCTCAGGTCCACCTACTTTTCCACTTCCTCCAGATCTTAACAGCCTGCTTCGGATCCTTTGCCCACGGAGGTAATGATGTCAGGTAAGAGGATGAGATCTCACAAACCAGCAGCTTAACATTTTAAGTGCTTGGAGCAAGGTTTGCCAGCTTGGCTGGTCGGAAAGCGTATTAATTTCTGCTGGCAGATGATCATCAGGGCTGTGTTTTGCAAAGTTTGTGACACTGATGTCCACAGTGCTTTCCAGGAGTTGGGCTGCTCAGTCTACGGTTTATTTTCTTCTCAATGGTGACATCTTTTTTATTTGTTACTAAATAATTGTGCAGTAATTAGTTTAATTTGCAAGCTTTTGAGGCATTGAGACTCCCGCTGGCACGCCAGCCACTTATAAAAGCAACCAGCACAGTCCCGGCCCTGCAGAGTTCATAGCCTGTTCTAACTGCAAGACTGGAGACTAGCAGTAAACGAGAGGTTTAGGCTGTTTTTGTCACTAGATGAGTTTCATCTGTTGGAACACTGCAGAAAGAGGTGTGTGAAGAATGTCTTCATTTTGATTGCTGCAACCCTTCCAGGGGTCTAGGACTGTGTGAGGCAGCGTATCACTAAATAGCTCAGAAAATTCTAACAAGCCTTAACATCAAAGTCCTACTGAAGTTCATAAACTGCATGTACAACTTCTCCAGCTACCACAGTTCTCTTACCAAAGTACAAGGAGGGGCATTTTGAGTGTTTTTGCTCTGTGCCTGAGAATATTGCATATTTTTCCTTTAGGATTTGGCTGGACTGACTCTTCCCTGGGCCTGGAGCTCTCCACTTGGTATTTAGAAGGTGCTCCTTCCTGTACCATGATAAGGCCTGAGAAATCCACTCAGAAGCTGCTTGTTGAAGCAATGGTCCTTATCTGGGTTGTAGCTGGGCCTGTGCTGAGCCCTGTGGTGCTGAACCCGTGCCGTGGTAGCTGTGTCCTGCCGGTGTCAGTTTCAGCATTTGCAGCAGGGCTTTGCAGCATTCCTAACTTCCACAGTCCTCCTTAGGCATCTGGCCAAACACCGTCCCCACTCAGAAAGGAGAACAGTTATTGCCCCTCGCTCTTGTCAGCCACCTGATTTAACTTGCAGCTCATCTTGAAAACACTTAGAAGCATGTCTCTTCCTTTCCTGGCCACCCAGCATCCTGGGAATGCGGAACAGGGCTTTCTGAAGAGCCTTTTTGTCCTCGCTCTTCTTATTACTCCCTTTGTATCCACAGGGAACTAGCTTCAGGAAGCAGCCTGGGGTCCTCTCATCCTCTGCCCTGGAGGTCGGTGGTGCAGCTTTCCTCTTGCATGGTCTCTGTTGATCAGGACCTTTGCAAAGAGCAAAGATCTATGAAGCCCAGTACCACAGTCTGCAGAGTGGCCAGCACCAAGTGCCGAGGGGAACGTAGGCGTAAGGGCAAGCGCTGCTGATATTTCTCATAATGGACTCTGGGAGATACCACTGCAGAAAGTGCACAGCCTACCCCAGTAGATGATATCTATACATACTCCTCACACGTTTATGCAAGCATCATTTGCCAGTTCTGTAGGAGGCAAGGGTAGTAGGGTTTGTTAGAAGTGATCTCAAAGGATGAAGTCAGTTCAGAAATCAAATTTGATGTTGAAAGGAGCTGAACAGGATGACAGACAAGGTTTAGACTCTGTGCAGTATGGTTTGTTGCATCTTACAATCTAATTGCCCTCCATTTCTGCATTTGGACTGGCTTAGTGCCTTGGCAATATCCTTTCATGAAGATGCATGTTTTAGTGCTATGCAGATCTCTACTCTGTCAGTGATCCTACCAAATTTGCCAGCAAGCATGTTTTTTTTTTATTAAGTGCTGTTTATTCCAAAATCTCATCATAGCCTGAATCGATGTAATTATAAAACTAAAGGACAAGTTAGCTTCATTTTGTCAAAGCTGGTAGAAATGCAAGAAGATGGTCATGGATGTAGGACTGGATAGGTACCCGTCCTTGAAATTGTGCTGAGATCCAGCTAAGCAGTAAGAGTTAAAGATGCTCTGTATGCCAGGGAGTTTGGGTAGATAAAACACTCTGGGAATGCAGATATCTATCCTGTGGATTATGTAGCAGAGACATTTTGCCAGTCTTTATCTAGCAGAGCAGAAGACTTCTTACTGGGCTCTTGGCTTCTCTGCATGTGTCATAAAGATCTGCAGAGCTCGAAAGACAGTGCATTATTTTAAAAATAATGTGGTAGAACCTAGCTAGTAGCACAGCTTTCTGCCCAAACAACTGCAAGAAACCAAGCCTTGGTAATCCATCTTCTACTGAAGGCTGCTATCTTTTCATTTTCTTCCTTCACTTTCCTTCTGCTCATTTTAGGTGCTGCTGTCAAGCTGCTTCTCTATTTTTTTTTTCTCAGTCCCGAATCCTGTTGTTAAAACCACACTTTCTTCTGCATTTGGTCTTAAACCCCTCACTCATATCTTTAGGGCAGCACCTCCCTTGTTCACATCTTTTTCTTTGGATGTGTCTCCTACATTTTCCTTCCCGATCCTGGAGCTCAGCCTTGTCCCTTGTTTTCTATTTATTGTCCGTCACACTGTTTGCTGGCCTTCCTTGAAGGGACAGGAGCAGATAAGAGGATCAAGAGAGAAAAAAGCTAATGTAAAAATTAAAACCTACAGATAGTCAAATGATTGACCTCTTTCAGAGCATGTTTAAGTATGAGGTGCATGGTATGGACTGAACCACCGATGCAGCTCAGAAACACTTTATGGAGCAGAAGTGCCCCATATAGTTTGGACAGCATTTTGGTGAGAAAAAAAATCATGGAGATCTCCCTTGTTTCATTGTCCAGGCTTTTCACCTGGACCTGGAATAGTTGAATCACCAATATTTCACTTTCCACTGAGAAACTTATTAATAATAAGTGTAGCTTGATCACAGTTTCTTCCAAGATGATGCTTTTTAGCATCATAAAGATTCCATCCATCTCTGCTGTAGGAGAGGATGTTTGTAGCAGTCTGGTGCCATGTGTAGGCTGACATTAGCAAGGATCCCGGCTGGGGCAGTTGTGCTTTAAAAGAAGCAGAGGGTCATGGTACCTCCTTATTTGGGTGACTGTTTTGTTCATTCCCTCTGTCCCCCTGCCACAGAGCTTATATGAGCAGTGTCAAGGATGCTGGAGCCCTTCCAGGGCTGGGGCTAACTGAGCTGGGCCGAGAGCCTTGTGACACCATCCTGCACATGGGCTAATGAAATCTAAAGAATTTAAAATCCCAACTAAATGTGTTGGGACAGAACTGCTGAAAAAAAATGTTGTTGTTGAACTTAATTAGCGGCGCCAAGTGAGCAGGTCCCACTGGCTCAGCACCCGAGCACAAAGGGAGCACGTCAGGTCATTGCAAGGGCAATGGGAGAATAAAAAAGGGCAGGATGGAAAAAAAGACCTAGGCCAGGAGCGTGACACAAGGAGAATTGCCAGCTTCCTAAATGCTTGTTCAGAGACAGCTTTCCACAGAGGCCAGGAGGTTTGTTGGCTGGCAGGGATTATACACACCTACGGTTGAGTTGGTTGGAGCTTATTTTCTGTAAATATA